TTTTTTCATCAAGTCCCTGTTAATATGGGAGAACACTGTGTCTATGCTTGAGGCACAACTCTCCTAAACACGAGAGTGAAGTATACAACTTTAGAACACTTTCCCACCAGGAGACTCGAACCCTAGCCAGCACAGAAGCCTTCCAGCAACTGGCATAACAGGTACGCCTTAACCCACTCCACCACCTGCTCAGACCCCTAAAAGAGATGGTAATTTCGGAGTATTTATACACTCCAAAGACAACCACTTCCCAAGAGCACTAGAGCAAGTGAGAGGTAATTTTTACGTTTTTTCATCAAGTCCCTGTTAATATGGGAGAACACTGTGTCTATGCTTGAGGCACAACTCTCCTAAACACGAGAGTGAAGTATACAACTTTAGAACACTTTCCCACCAGGAGACTCGAACCCTAGCCAACACAGAAGCCTTCCAGCAACTGGCATAACAGGTACGCCTTAACCCACTCCACCACCTGCTCAGACCCCTAAAAGAGATGGTAATTTCGGAGTATTTATACACTCCAAAGACCACCACCTCCCAAGAGCACTAGAGCAAGTGAGGGGTCATTTTTACGTTTTTTCATCAAGTCCCTGTTAATATGGGAGAACACTGTGTCTATGCTTGAGGCACAACTCTCCTAAACACGAGAGTGAAGTATACAACTTCAGAACACTTTCCCACCAGGAGACTCGAACCCTAGCCAGCACAGAAGCCTTCCAGCAACTGGCATAACAGGTACACCTTAACCCACTCCACCACCTGCTCAGACCCCTAAAAGAGATGGTAAGACCCCTAAAAGAGATGAGTCTCCTGGAGGGAAAGTGTTCTAAAGTTGTATACTTCACTCTCGTGTTTAGGAGAGTTGTGCCTCAAGCATAGACACAGTGTTCTCCCATATTAACAGGGACTTGATGAAAAAACGTAAAAATGACCCCTCACTTGCTCTAGTGCTCTTGGGAGGTAGTGGTCTTTGGAGTGTATAAATACTCCGAAATTACCATCTCTTTTAGGGGTCTGAGCAGGTGGTGGAGTGGGTTAAGGCGTACCTGTTATGCCAGTTGCTGGAAGGCTTCTGTGCTGGCTAGGGTTCGTGTCTCCTGGTGGGAAAGTGTTCTAAAGTTGTATACTTCACTCTCGTGTTTAGGAGAGTTGTGCCTCATATATATATATATATATATATATATATATATATAAATATATATATATATAATATATATAAATTTAATATAAACCCTTCTAATGTGTAAGAATCGATTTGTGAGATTATTGCAGAAATACCGTCTGCTTAACATCATACAAATTGCTATCGAAATATATAAATTAACGGAAATATAAATTCTATATAAATTCATACAAATTAAATAAATATAAATCTCACGAGTCGGTTCCCACAACTAGAATGGATTGTGGCAGCTACTTCTACCCATCTACTTTTCTACCTCTGCTTCTACTCTCTACATCTATTTTCTACCCTCTACTTCTACTTCCTACTCTCTCTCCTCTCCCTCCACCTCTCTTCAAACTTTCCTTTTTGAACTTACCACACTCCTCGCTACTCCCAATGGTCTTTACTCCCATCACCTCTGCCTCCCTCACCCCAAACCCTCACTCATTACTTCATTATTCATTTCTTTCAATTTTCCTTATCATTTCCCGACCCCCGTTGTAGAGGCTTCTATGGACGGTTAATATCAAAAGTTCCTTGAGGAAATCTCTACACCGTCATCAAATAAATCTTTATGAACTCCAGACAGAAGTCACAAAGAGAGAGTCCAGAGTGAACAATCGACTACTGACGTACATGTCGGATGATCCTACTCAGCCTGAGCCATTAAGTCCAGCCCACTTAATGTATGGCAGACCTCTGTCTCCAGTGATATCTTTAGTTGATGATATGATCAGAGATCCCTCATATGTGGGTCAGAGTGAGTTTGTTCAGGTGTTTAAATATCTGTCCACCATAATCCAGAAATGGAATGATGTATAGACAAAGGAGTATCTCCTCTCTATGCCTCTCTATGAGAGCATCATTACAGGGATACTATTTCTCATAATAAATCTAATCTCCAACCTCGGCACATTGTCTTGGTAGACTGTAACAGTCCGAGAGCTAAGTGGCCATTGGGAAAAGTCGTCTCTATCCATACAGATAACCAGGGGATTTTGAGAATAGTTCCCTTAAGACATTGGACAACCTAATCCATATGGAGTCAGTGGGTCAGTTTGATCCTGGGAGACCCCTTAATATCTCTAACTAACTCTAAATGACCCTCAGACACTAAATAGGCATATTCGACTACATCGGACAACCGCACAAAGGTGCAAACAAAATTTGCGCTTGTATTATCAATCCGATGGAGACTAAATGAATGTAGATGGTCTCTGTCAGTCCTAAACAATGGACTCTGCACCAGTTCTCTTCCCCTGGAAGATATGGAAAATTTCCACTATGCCAATATTTATAATCAATGAAATTAAGTATTATTCTAAATCATACATGTAAGTCATACATCCTAGATCATATATCCATGACAACACCACAATTGTCATGTCCGCTTATAGGTCTATGGATGCCTACATAACAACGGTCATGGAGTCTAGACGTTTTCACTGTGATAATGCTCAATTGAAATATAATTAACTTCCTGTGAGGTTATTTCAAAATCGTAATAAAAAAATAATCCTTACTATAAGTATTATCAATAATCACTATATCATTGGTATCTTGATCCTACAATCACACTTTATTTCAAATATTTGACTAAATGAGAAAAATATTATTCTTATATTGATAGTTGGCCACCGTCACTAAGAGAGAGAGAAGGCGGGAACCTGACGCCCAGTGCCCGGGGCTCAGACGGTTTTGTTTACATCAAACAGTGCACGTGTGTCCGTGTTTAGAACTCTAAGAGTCCAAATAATGTGCTATACACTATTTAAACACTGTGTTAACACCCTAAGACAATCTAGAAGGTGTTGAATATCATTTTATATCTAAATCAGTAAAAATAACTCATAATACCTAGCAAAGGCGAGTTCAGGTGTTCAGAGACTCGCCACGCTACCACCAACAATCTTATTCATTGCTACAGCAATTCTCTATCCCTGCAAAGCAGATAGAATCATCCAAAATCTACAACATATAACGCCTTATCTCATCACGAGAGATCTTTAATCTGGCCACTGTCAGATAGGCACCGGCTCAGTTTTGGATAAGTATTTAGTGTTTGTTGTATGTTTAATTGGCCAATTTGCATGCTTCTAAAACTTTAACTTTCCATAAAAACTTTTTGCCGTTATATAGTGGGGAAAACCCCAAAATAAAGCGAGCATCTATAATAATTCTTATCTAAATCAGTTAATTTGTAAATTATCAATAATAATTAATTTAATCCTTATAATCTAATCTGAAATAAGTTTGTCACTCAATAATCAATATAAATTATGAATCACCATCATAATTATCCTCAAGAAATAATATTTGCTTGCATTTAATCTATAAATCAATTATAAATCTTGCTTGAATGTTACTCTTGAACTAGTTAATCTCATATTTACTAGATAAAATCCCAGTTATTTTCTATAACTGTTTAAGTTATATGTTAAGTTATATTTAAGTTATATATATATTTATGAGGGGCCTCGTAGCCTGGTGGATAGCGCGCAGGACTCGCAATTCTGTGGCGCGGGTTCGATTCTCGCACGAGGCAGAAACAAATGGGCAAAGTTTCTTTCACCCTGAATGCCCCTGTTACCTAGCAGTAAATAGGTACCTGGGAGTTAGTCAGCTGTCACGGGCTGCTTCCTGGGGGCGGAGGCCTGGTCGAGGACCGGGCTGCGGGGACACTAAAAAAAAAGCCCCGAAATCATCTCAAGATAACCTCAAGTGCTAAGTTAGAGTGTGTATAGTGTTCAGATCTTTTCGAAGCCTGAACAGTGAACCAATTATTTAAGTAGTCATTATTAATGCTGTGTTTTTTTTAACTTAATCTCTTGTACAATGTATACTGATGTGACTTAATATCAATAGGTACATGTTGTTTCTACAAAAAATATCCTTATGTAGTACCTTTACAACTACAGTCCTTGAAACATCTTAGAAGGCATACAAGAGGAATCTTTCGCTAGACTTTGAGACATCTAAGGACTCCTTTTTTATGTTGTGTTATTTGTTTGTAACAATTTTGTATTTACACATATTGTATATTTTCCATATAATAATCAATCCAAGGTATTTGTCCCATAATTCGTGCATTATAAACCGCAAGGTGTAACTCTTAAGTTTTTCAATCTGTGATTTATATACATTTTCTTCCAAACCTAATACTCAGTACACTAGATATCCTGTATGATTCCTTTCAAAATGATGCTGGTCGCGAGTAATATTTAGCAAGGACGTGTCAAAACAGCCTTCAGGCATTTTAATGATAAGAGACAATGATTATTTAAAGTTTGACAAGATGATTACACTTAAGACCCACACAAAATTCTATATCTCAAGCAATCACACTTTCAAGTTTTAGATATAAAGATGTTCAGTTTTCAAGTATCCAGGAATAATATAAGTATGTGATTTGAATGGAAGAGGGAGACTAGGTAAGGTTAAGAGAGAGAGGTAATGTATAGACATTTTTGTAGTGTAGAGAGAGGCGTGATTCTGTCATAATATATCAACATATGCAACTTAGGATAGCAACCCATATTCAACTTAAGACATCACTCCATATCCAACTGAAGATAGCACCCCCATATGCAACTTAATATAACACCCAAACTTCCAACTAATGATAGCACCCAAATATCCAACTTGGCATAGCAACCACCCCCAGTATCCATCTCAAAATGACACCCAATGCACCATATGCACCATAAGATAGCACCCCGGTATTCACCTTTAGACAGCACCCACATATCACTCTTACGATAGCACTCCCGTATCCACCCTCATATCCAGCTTAAAATAGCACTTTCGCTCATATGGAACTAAAGAAAGCACTTACTCTGATGAGAGGTGTTGATATGCCTGGGACAGGATGTCCAGCAGGGTGACGTAGATGTCAAAGGTTGATGTGAGCCTTCGAGTGTTGGTGAGCAGGTTGGCCCAGGCCTCGGGGTACTGGTCCTTAAACCATGGAGGAAACACAATCATAACGTATGGCAATCTTTCTTCAAGCATCCCGGCGTACGTGGACCTGAAGTCCCCCCACCGCTGTCCGTGGTCACTGATGAAGAAGAGGATTGTGTGCTCGAGGTAACCTTTGCTATATATTTCCTGGAGGTACTTGAGCGAAGGTTCGTCCGCACTCTTAGCCATAGTTAGGTAATCGTGAGTGAGAGAAGCTGACCAGTAATACCCGAAGTATGGGATATCTTGCAGAGCCTCAGCCACGGAGAGCGAGTAATCATGGATGACACTCATACTCAGATTATATCCCTGGCAAATTTTTCCATTGGACGACCCAATATCTGCGTTATGGCTTATTTCCTTCTCGGATATTAAGAAATATGGCCTGTTGTAGTAATCTGTTGGTTCTTTAACGTATCCAACTTTCCCATAATGAAACAAACCCATCCATGGCGCGTCCTCTCCGTAGGCAGTGGCGTAACCTTGCTTGGAGAATTCCTTCCAGATCAGGGGACAGTCGTCAAACTTGGCATTCTTCTTTGGTTGACAAGGATGTTTCATTAGTTCATCGTAGGTCATCCCCATCAGGGCGGCCATCATATTCGGATCTGTGTTGTCGGCGACCTTGTTGAAGCCCTGGAGGTCAATGGCTTCAAGGCTGTGTTTGAGGTACTGAAAGGTCATAGGCATATGACGTCTCAGGTTGCCCCTGGACACAGCGTCTGTTCCCATTATAATGACACTCAACTTGTCCTTGCGTGGCTGTCGCGTCCCGTGCGCCTTCTGCGGGGAGGAGAGACAAGTCAGTGTTAGCGCCGTCTGGTGGCTTGATAACCCTGCATGTGTTACGGCTTGTTGTGTCTGGTGGCTTGTGTTACGGCTTGCGTTATGGCTTGTTGTGTCTGGTGGCTTGTGTTACGGCTTGTTGTGTCTGGTGGCTTGATAACCCTGCATGTGTTACGGCTTGTTGTGTCTGGTGCCTTGATAACCCTGCTTGTACTCACCTATTGGTACTAACCTATTTGTGCTTGCGGGAGTTGAGCTTTGTCTCTTTGGTTCCGCCTCTCAACTGTCAATCAACTGGTGTACAGATTCCTGAGCCTACTGGGCTCTATCATATCTACATTTAAAACTGTGTATGGAGTCAGCCTCCACCACATCACTGCCTAATGCATTCCACCTGTTAACTACTCAAACACTGAAAATGTTCTTTCTAATGTCCCTGTGGCTCATTTGGGTTCTCAGTTTCCACCTGTGTCCCCTTCTTCGCGTACCAACAGTGTTGAATCGTTTATCCTTGTCAACCCCTGTCAATTCCCCTGAGGATTTTGTAGGTAGTGATCATGTTTCCCCTTACTCTTCTGTCTTCCAGTGTTGTAAGGTGCATTTCCCGCAGCCATTCCTCGTAACTCATGCCTCTTAGTTCTGGAACTAGGCTAGTGGCATACCTCTGAACTTTTTCCAGCTTCGTCTTGTGCTTGACAAGGTACGGGCTCCGCTGGGGCCGCATACTTCAGGATTGGTCTTACATATGTGGTATACAAGATTCTGAATGATTCCTCACACAGGTTCCCGAAGGCTGTTCTGAAGTTATCCAGCCTCACATATGCCGCAGACGTAATTCTTTTTATGATGGCTTCAGGAGACAGGTTTGGTATGATGTCAACTCCTAGATCTTTCTCTCTGTCCGTTTCATGAAACAGTTCATCTATTCTGTATCCTGTGTCTGGCCTCCTGTTTCCACCGCCTAGTTTCATTACATTGCATTTACGCAGGTTGAACTTTAGCAGCCATTTGTTGGACCATTCATTCACCCTGTCTAGGTCATCTTGTAGCCTCCTACTATCACCCTCAGTTGCAATCCTCCTCAAAATTTTTGCATCATCAGCAAACAGTGAGAGAAACGAGTTTATACCCTCTGGGAGATCATTTACATATATCAGAAACAGTGTAAGTCCAAGGACTCACTCCACCGGGACTCCACTTGTGACGTCTCGCCAATCTGAAACCTCACCCCTCACAGTGACTCGTTGTCTTCTGTTGCTTAGGTACTCCCTTATCCAATGAAGTACCTTCCCTTTCACTCCAGCCTGCATCTCCAGCTTTTTCACTAGCCTCTTGTGTGGTTCTGTGTCAAAGACTTTCTGGCAATCCAAAATTATGCAGTCTGTCCACCACTCTCTTTCTTGCATGATTTTTGTTGCCTGGTCGTAGAATTCAATTAACCCTGTGAGACAGGATTTGCCATCCCTGAACCCATGTTGATGCTGTGTTACAAAGTTCTTTTGCTCCAGATGTTCCACTAGCTTTTTTCGCACAATCTTCTCCATCAGCTTGCATGGTATGCAAGTAAGGAACTCTGGCCTGTAGTTCAGTCCTTTCTGTCTATCCCCCTTCTTGTATATCGGGACTAAATTAGCAGTCTTCCAAATTTTGGGCAATTCCCCTGTTACCAGTGATTTGTTATACATTATGGAGAGTGGCAGGCACAGTGCTTCTGCTCCTTCCTTTGTGACGCCCGGTGTCTACGTCAACACAAGGTCACAGTGCGTTGTTAGATTTTCTAGCGTTTTTCGGCTTGCATCTCGGCCGTTGAGCGAGGAGTCTGGAGCTTGCTTGGTCGAGAAGTGCTGGGGTCCGACGGGCCCTGGAGGCTCCTGTGTTCCCTCTGGATGTGGGAACTGCCTCTCACTCTGCCGGGGTTGTTACCCTGTCTGTGGCGTGGATGGCCGCTGCTTGCTCTGCTGGGGGTAGTCGGGTGGTCAGCGCCACTTTGTGATTTTCTGTTGCCGTCTGGTTACGTTTTGCTATCGGAATCCGATTCGGCAGGGTGCATACGTCGTTTCGGCGTCGCCCTTAAAGCAGCAACACAAACACACAACATCATGCTTTCCACGATTCTTGCAGTTTGCTCTCATCTCTACTGGCTGTATAAGGCAAGCTGTGATTGGTTGAGCCTGTTAACTGGTTGCTGATTGAATTAGGTACCAGTAACACTACTAAACAAAGAACCAAATTACCCTCGCCGTGTTGTTGTGTGGTAGTGTTATTCTGAAACTTTGGGCCCTAGTATCCAGACGTGATCGAGTCAGCTCTTCTCGGCCAAAGTAACTAGTGGTCACTGAGGGAGGCCCAAGGTTGCCAGATCCAAATTGCTGAAAGTAGCGAGCTGGCGGTCTAAAAGTAGCGAATTTGCAATAAGAGTAGTCCAGTTTTTTGTTTAGTGACTGATATGGGTTTCAAAGCAATATATTTTGATATATAGAGTACACTACGCGATTTTAATTGTTTTATTAATATTATCTCTGCATATATATATTTAAAAAATATGATAATAGAATAACTTAACCAATATTTGCTGTATATGACGCATAATGGGTGTGGAGTCCTTCCGCGTCTTCACAATTGAAGATTATCAAGAGGATCTTCTTCGTCTGCGTCCATAACCTCGTTTTTGTATATTGCAGACTCATATTTAAGCATTGATATGGGTGGTTCAAATAATGAGCAACAAGTTCTGTTTTCTTCAAGATATGTTTTGATTCTCAAGATTGATGTCAAAAGTTCAAGTCCCATTCGATTTCTCAGTTTAGTTTTCATAGATGTTACTCTCGAAAATACCCGTTCAACCAGGGTATTACAGATTGGTAAGCTGTATATTGTCAATGCAAACTCAGCCAGGTCAATAAGTATGGGACTGCCAGCAGTGTTCTTGACAGTTATTGTCTTGGTCCAAAATGACGATCCAGATGTTGAAATTTGTCCCTCACAAATGTTGGATCAATCAGTGGTTAACAATGACTTTCAATTTCACTTAGCTTAGATTGGTCAGCTAGTACTAATGGAAGTTCTGATAATGGTGGGCGTTTGTGGCTAAAGCATATGCTGGGATGACAGATTTTTCACTTTTTGGAAAGTTTCAGCATTACTTAGAATACGAGAAAGAAGCTAACTTTTCCTGGGTTATAAAATGGTTTTGTCTGTTACTTGCCAGAAGTGTTGAAAATTCGTAACCAAAGTCAGCTTTCTCCTGGGGCAGATATTTTGAATTTTAGTCCAAATTAACATCAAGCTTTGCTTGATCAGGATGAACAATTCTTCTGAACATTCCAAGAACGAAGATTTCTGAGACAGAGTGAAGCCTACACTGATCTGCTTCATCTTTTTGATAAAGTAAATTCTTCCTCCCCGACCCATCACAAATCCTTATCCTGATCCCTTCCAAGTGCTATATAGTGGTCTCACCTGAGCTGCCGTGCGGTGTAGACGTGTCGCTTGACCGCTCCAGCAGTTTGGGGTAGTTGCCGTTTTCGCCGGCCGGGGGTGTGGTTGTCTGTACCCTCCCTGCTGTTCCTGGTGGAGTGGACGTGGCGTTTTAACGATGGGCGGCCATCTTCCAGCTGTCGTGAGGGTGAACTCCATAGGTTTGGAGTTTACCAGCCGTGCAGGTTACCCTCTTGTGGACTTGGTCTTGAGTGACATGCTCAGGGTCCCGGTCCAGGACGTCTACGGTGTCGAGCTGGTCACTGCTCGCCGTGTGATTATAAAGTTTGTGGGTGAGGCAGTGTACCGTGATTTTCTCCGGAGGTACGAGGGGCGTACTTTGCTGCTGCAGGACGGCAACGGTTCTGTGACCCTTTCGGATCGCAGTGGTGCTGTGACATATGTAAGTGTCCATGGCGCCCCCATGGAGTTTCCTGAGACCCTCCTCCGGCGTTTCTTCCAGAGGTATGGTCCCGTCGTCAGTGTGCGGATGAACTCGCTGTCATCTGGTAAGTATTCGGGTGTGAAGACCAACATTCGTACCCTCATGATGCGACTGAGGTTGGACATTCCATCCTCTGTCCGGCTGTTAGGGTACTACGTGCGGGTGTTTTATGCCCGGCAACCCTGTAGTTGTTTCTGGTGTGGCTTGTTGGGACATCAGGCTGCCGGGTGCACTCCTGATCCGGTTGCTCCCGTTAATTTGTTCCATGAAGAGGATTTCCCGCCGCTCCCTCCGGAGGAGGACTCCGGGGGTGAGGAGGTGAGCGTCCTGTTCGCTGTTGAGGCTCCCTGGCGTTACCCGACGTTCCCCCGGTTGTCACAGACCCTCCTCCGGATGTTGCGGTGCCGTCGGATGTTACTCCTGATCCTGTCTCTGGCCCTGCTGCTCCCGTGGGCCTTCCTGGTACACCCTGTGAGGCGTCGCCGTCTGCTCCCTCGTCTTCAGCTGCTGAACCTGGCCCTGCATCCTCCCCTCGGGTCCCTCCTGCGCTGGGTGCTGGGGTGGCTGCGGAGCCTCCTGCTGTGTGTGGTCCAGTTCCCCCTGTGGTAGAGGCTGCTGCTGTTCTGCGTTGGGTGTCGGTTCGTCCGGCTGGTGGTGCCCGTGTTTCTGGATCTGCTTCCGGCTCTGACGATATCCGGCCGGAGCCCAAACGTTCCAGGCGTTCACCTACTGCCTGGGCCGATGTTGGGGACTGTGGGTCTTCGGGTGTTGAAGGCGTGGATCTGGATGCCTCATTGTCTCCGCGGTTGGTGGTGGCGGAGGTTCATGTGCCTGCTGGTGGTGATGCCCATGTCTCGGGTGTGCCTTCTGTTCCTTCCTCGTCGGGGGGCTCTCCGCAGTGGGGTGAGGTGGCTTCTGCTGCCAGGGATAGTGCAGATGCTAGTGCTGGGCGTGGCCTGGTAGTGACTTTACGAAAGGATGAGCGCCGCCCTGGTTCCTTGCAGTCGTCTGGTGGTGTGCCTGTGGCCGCTGGTGCCCCTGTGGTGGTGCCCTCTGTCTGGCCCCATCGTGTGGA